TACGGGCTCGACTCTCCGCACAGCGAGTCATATTGGTCCTCGATCAGCTTCTCTCTCGAGCCAGCTGCACTCTGCCAGACGACGCCCCGCAGCGGCGCTGGTATGCCTCCCCGAATCTTATTCAAGCAGAGCGTGGGCAATCTGTGGACAGTCTGTGGGTAGTCGCGTACGAGGGCAGCCCAGAACTCGAGTTCGGTCATGGGGGGCGGCGAGGGCAGCTGGGAGAAGCGCATGGTGGAGGTGTCATCCGCCACGAGACGCTTGAGCTGGTTGAAGGAGGGGGGCCGGGACTGGCTGCGGGCGCGGGCGACCTTCATGTTGGACTTTGAGTTTGAGAGGATGGCTTCGTTCTCCTGCTCCAGTCGGGCGAGCAGCAGGGCCATGGCCTAGATATGTTAGCATTCGTTATTCATACAGGGGCCGGCTACACACCTCCTCCTCGCCCTCGGGCTCCTGTTCTTCCTTTTTCTCTAGCTCAGCCCAGTCGACCTCTTCGCTTTTTCCCGAGCCATTGCTAGTACGGCGCCCCCTGCTGTCTGGCGCTGCTGTCTTGGGGGAGACGGGTGCGTCGGTGTCCCGCACTGAGATGGTAGGGCTGGTCGGGGCGGGTGTGTCGACGCTCGATTGGCTGGCGCGGCGTCCGAAGGCATTGCGGATTTCCGTTGAGTTGGTTCGTGATGATGCTCTTCGCTCCTCAACTATAATCTCTGGCCGCATCACCGATTCCCTCGCACCTTCCTCTTCCTCTGGGGTTCTGCCGTCCGTCTCGGAGAGGGGCACTGTGACCATCGAGTCTGTCGGCAGCGGCGAGCTGTCCACGTGTGACCTGGGCGCGCGCTCGACGGCTTCTTCTTTCACCTCCATGGTGATGCTTCCGCTGGACATGTCTGCTGTCTTCACGGTGGTGGTTCGATATGACGGAGCGGAAATTTGCTCTCCGCCGCGGCAGGTAGAAAGAACAGACCTGTTTACCTGGGGCGCTCGGTTCGGTGGTGCTGGTGTAGAGCGTGTTTCACTTCTGTGGAATTAGTATGCTGGCGCCGGCTTGAGTCGTGCACGCTGTGACTCTCTGGGTATTACTCTGCAGGCGGCATTCATGCGAACAGAAGAAAGTCAGAGCGACGGCGCAACAGCTCACGGCAGCACGAAAAGAGCGCGACGGACCGCAAAAGAGGGAATGATTTCCCCAACGGCCTCGAAAGGAGCATCAAGGAGGCCCTGGACTAGGCCCGCAGCCAGCTAGACCCTCTTGGTCAGGGTCCACACTCGCCTTTGCTGCTTAATTTACGGCGGGACCAGCTGCTGCCCCTGGCCCCGCATCCCACCTACACCGACCTCACCTCCGCCTTTCCTATGGATCGAGCCCTTGATGCCACTGATTGCGCGACCAAGCGCTGATGTCACGACGCTGCCACTGGCAGCTGTCACAGCCATGCACGCGCAAATGGCGTGCACGAGGGACACGCGACGTAAACATGCGCACCCACGCTAATTTCGGCGTCGGAGCCAATCACCGCCGCCGACACTCCGCATCCTCCTCACCAAGCCCTCCCTCCCTCCCTCCAACCCCCTCTGTCCGCATCGAGCGATTGTGCCTCTCCCATGCCCTCTTGAGTCGGCAGCGTCCTCCGTCGTGCTTGGCATCGCTTAACCGGGACGGGTGGTAATAGTACCTCAACACCTCCAGGGATTAACAAGAAACTACTCGAGTGCCCCTGCAGACCGCCTCTTGCTACGGCACAGTTGCTCCACACGAACTGCCCATCTTTGCCGTTGTTCGCGCCGAACTAGATGTACTCGCGTAGTTCTGAGTTCTGGATCGCGACGATCAGTGGTATTCTCCGCTGATGCGAGTCTACAGTTATCTCCGTCAAGCACTACCGTGATCGAAACTTTCCTTGTATGCTGGAAGGATATTACAATCCATGTTATCTAGCGGCTACAGCGACTGGACGCGGTGGATCTCGATTGAGCAGTGTCGACATGCGAAAATCTCATTCTTCCATCCTTCCTTGTTTCATTCATCTTGTAAACAACGTACGCTCCTTCTAGTGGTGTCTTGCACTTTGCTACGAACAATCTTCAGGTAGATCCACGTGAACATCATTACAACCGACTGACATCAGCAAGCTAGTGTGCTTCGCAAACCCTTTTCATACAGGAAAAGATAAAAGATATGTACCGCGCAGAGGCATCGTAACCTTGTCTTCAGGAGCCGTCCACCTGGGCACCATTGAAATTCCGACCTATATACACCATGCAGACAACCACAAAGCGCTCTATCCGCATCTTGTTGTGTCGACTTCCAGCAAGTACCCTCGCTGGGCTGGAACAGTGCTTCGAATTATACAATGATTTCTAAACGGTCTCCTTCACTATGTCGTTCTTCTCGGATACAAGCTTTGACCGCCGTTGGGATTTGCTACACTGTTCTTCACACCTTTCACAAGGGTCTAGTGACGACTCGTGAAAGGTCCACAGCAAGAAGTTAGGCTTCTCAGTCACTCTGGTGGATTCTCCATTAGCCTTATACCCCGCTTCCCATCCGTTGCTTTCCAAGTTCATACTTGCTGCTCACGTCCATCAACTGTAACGATCCACCCAACAGTACCGCCGCGATGCCTCCGAAGCGAAAGAACGAAGCACCCACTACGCCAAAGCCTGCGAAGAAAGCCAAGACAGGCGCCACTCCTACACGCACGTCTCCACGAAGCAAGAAGGACGGTAGTGAGACACCACCTTCAAACAGTCCCGTCAGGAAGCCGAGGAAGCCGGCGCATCCCGGATCGAAAGCAGTCAAGGCCCCAGATGAAGACGCCAACTTCGAGTGGGAGATCTTAGACGGCGACGAACGCTCGACGCTCGTCGTCGGTAAGGATCAGGCAAATCGACTTACACTCACGTTCCACCATCGACATGACAGGAACGAGAAAGATCGAGTCTTTACATACGAAAGGAGGGAAGCGACTGATATCGACTGGAACTCCAAGGACCACATCAGAGACATCAACAAGTGGCGCAATCAAATCTTCGTTCAAAACATGAAGTTCCCACCCAAGGTCACACATACTCCCTGGACTCCGTTCGAGACCGCCTATCTCGAGCTGTTCCACGAGAAGCTCCTAGAGGCTGCAACTGGGAAGACGGATACCTTTGTGGCGCCTCACAACGAGCTCATATATAAAGCATTCAACGACTACTTTGAGGACCGGACCGATATTCGGGACAAGAACGGCAAACCCATAGAGGAGGGTCTCGGTACCAGGCCCCCGGGTGGACTAAATTCGTACCTCAACCGCGCTGATACCAAAGTTCGTGGCCTGCGAGATCGTATGAAAGCACTCGAGCCTAAGCTCAAGAAGAGCAAGAAGGATGATACTTGGATGCCTACCATCACCGACGACGAGATTGAGCAGTATATCAAAGGGGAGTGGGAGTCGGCTGTCGATACTACTGCCGCTGGTGATGAGGGTGGAGAAGAGGATGTAGATCAAGCTGAGGAAGAAGATGAAGCTCAAGCTGAAGGTGAAGGTGAAGGAGAGGATGAAGATCAAGCTGAGGATGAAGACGACGGTAATGACTCCGACACCTCTACTCTTACCACACCACCTGACACGGACGAAGAACTCGAAAGCATGGAGATTCTTGAGCGCGAACAACAGGCTAAGCGTCTGATAGTCAAGCTCAAGCTTAAACCCAGCACAGCCAGCAAGTTTCCAGGGGGCAAACGACCAACCACCAAGCCTACAGTCACCAAACCTACAGTCACCAAACCTACAGTCACCAAACCTACAGTCACCAAGCCTACGACAACCAAGCCTACAACCAGCAATCCCGCACCAAACACGCGGAGTACTAGTAAGGCCACCTCGGGCAGGTCAAGCGCCCGTTCTTCTTCGCCACCTCCTCCAGAGAAAAACACCAAGAAGACGAGCTCCGCCAAGAAGACGATGACTGATCCACGAAAGACAACGGAAGCGCCCGAACCGAAGTCGAAGCCGCGAGTTGTTAAGCCCGTCGAGACAGAACCAATACCCACTCATCCAGACGTTATTGCCGATCTCAAGGCGAAGGGATACACATGGACCGAACTACCCAAGAATAACGAGGAGGCGATTAAGGCGCATCAGGAGGCGCAGAACGCGAAGCCTAGTGAGAATGCGTGGATCGAAGTGACCAAGAAGAACCTGGAAGATCGCATCGGAAGGCAGACAAATGAGGATTTTAATCGCGAGTTCTTCAACAAGGATCTGAAAGAGAAGTATGAGGGCAAAGGCAAGATGGTCAACGTGGAGGATTGGCATGAGAAATCCGCACGCAGAGCCGGAGCGGCAGAAGTTACGGCCTTGCTCAACACCGCCGATATCCCACCCCTCGGTTACACAGGCGACATCCGGGATCTCCACAAGAAGAGGCTGTTATCGGAGGACGAACTCGAGTTGGCTGACGCACGCGAAGCCGCCATCCCTCGAATGCAGGAAGCAGTCGAGCGCGCGCGACAGATGAAGATCAAGGAAGAGTCTGACAAAGACCCCATCTTGAAAGCGAAGCATGATCGGGCTGCAGCTATGCAAAAAGATGTGGCCTACGATTCAGACATTACGACCTCGGGGGAAGATACGGATGAGGAGGCATGATGGAACACATGAGAACGCTGATGGTGTCCCGGTATAGCAAGTCAGGTGTTGCAGCGCAAAGTCCGTCAGCTACGAAGCTACCGGATTGGTCGCTCGCTACTACTAGCTAAAACAATGAAATACACAGTGCACTATTCATTATCTCCCTAACGTTCATGTGACGCCGGAAACGTTTCTTTACCACGAACAAAGCACCCGAGTATCGGGAGGTACCGGCACTCGAGCAGACGACGAACAAAGCGAAAACTCCGACCTTGAAAATGGCTACGTTGTCCGTATCGTCCTCGATACTCGAGATAGACATCACTTGACGCAGTACCATATAGCGCTTCGCAGGACGACTCAGAAGAAGTGCCTGACACGATGGTGGCGGCGACGAGATCACAAACCAAGGATGCGCCTGGGGCCGCGCAAACAGCTTCATCATCCCTGCTGGTCAACCCAACTGTTCAAGAAAACTGGCCCGCTAATCCGACGACGACGGCAGAGTTCAATGCATGGATGGCTGAGACCAAGGCAGCGTTAGAAAAATGGTTGAGAGAAGCCACGGCCGCGGCCAAAGACCCGGCGATCGAAGAGACCATCGACAACTACAACAAAGAAGCGCTGGAGAGATGGCAACCTTTCGAACGACAAACGGACGTAGAAACAGGCATCATCCATGATGCAGCGCAGCAAGCGGCGATGAAGAGAGCCGTATTGCGCGAAAGGAGAACGCGCGAGAGTATACACGACGAGCACAGGACATGGCGAAAGTTCGTCGAGTACCGATACGCACAGTCTGCTTGGGAAGACTTCCTATACTACCAGAATGTATGGAATAGACGAGGACACGATCCCTGGAAGATATACAGCGTAACAGCTGCCGAGCAAAGATATCAAGAAGCACTAGGATCGCTCAGCGCGAAAGCTCGACAGGACCTGCAAGATCTAGACTCCGACGAAGCTACAGTAGGAAGACCACCGAAAAACCACCAGCCCCAGGATCCAAAGACTCACAAGCCCGGTACCAACAACCAGAACAAGCTCGACCGAACGAAAATCAACGCCTACACCGACGCCTTCCACGACCCTTACATGGTATGGCTAAAACACATGATCGATCTGTACAAAAGTGCGTGTCTCGGATATCGAAAGCGTATATCCGGCGTTGTGGCTCCGGAGAATGCGCATCGGTATAGCCAGCCGCCTCGTGGTACTACACCGACAAGTACGCCGCGCTATCACCACCGCCATCGTCACATTGAAGAAAAGTTTCCGCGTGTGAGACGGCAGCAGATAGATAGGGCTGAAGAGGAAGAGGGGTATCGGACGAAGGCGCAGAGAAGCCGGGATATGCGGCTCGCAAGGAGGGGTAGGATGGAAAAGATTACATGGGGTATTGACGAGAAGGCGTATGAGAAAATGAGAGCCGAGAAGGAGAAGGAATTCAGCCGGAACCCTCTCACTATTAACTTACTACCAGAAGGTCACCAACCCCACCACGGCAGTCTAGAAACAAGTTTCAACTTTCCCACATCCTTCGACTCCCCCGTCGCCACTATTCTCAAGACCACAAAAAGAAGAGACTTCGTCTACGAACCTCTCAGCGACCCCTCATCCCCCAAAAGCCGAAAAACGTTCTTGGGCTACAAGAAAGACGAAAAAGGAGCGCGTATCAAAAAAATCGACAAAAGACCACACTACCAGCGCGAAATCCACATGCGCGAAGGCCTCGTATTCGAACACCAGATGCGTGACGATGGAACGGTAGAAGGACGAGACCGCAACGGCGAATGGATTGGAGATTGGGTACCGGGTCAGATCGCTACGCCTGTTTGGGTTTACGATGATGACGGTAACCGTATCCTTTTACCACCGCGGTATGAATCGAGGAATAGATTTTCTGCTTTCCTGGTCAAGGAATCGCATGTTAGGGAGACGCGGCGCCAGCGACAGCGAGGGGCAGGACGGGAGTATGAGTTATCGGGTGATGAGGATGAGGGATGTGTATCCTCGAATGCCAATTTCTCGAGATCGGGGAATGTTAATCCGGAGTTGTTGGGAAATCCTTGGGCGTACAACCTCGATAGTGACGGAGAAGGGGAGGGTGTTGGTCGTCCTAGTGACAGCGATGACGATGATAGTGACGATGAGGGGGATTTGTTTGCGGAGTCGTATAGAGAGTGTTCGGAGAGCCCTGCGACGAGACAAGCGCGGTTGTTGTTGGAGGATCTGCGGGAGAGGTTTGGTGTGCTTGAGAACTGGACTGTGGAAAGTGTTAGGGGGTTGCAACTGCATGGTGATGATGGTTCTCTGGTTGTTGGAGATGAGGAGATTATAGATTGGTATAAGAGCGATGCGGAGGGGTCGTAGATCGTAGGGTTAATTGATGTTTGCTGTCTCCTTCAAGTCCGAATGACCTGCCTCGCGTGAGCTTGATCAGACTTGATACTCGACTGTCAGCAGCGCACGCCGAACGATGTAGTGAAAGACACGAATCGGTGGCGCTAATCCGTTGCGTGCTCGAAAACTCAAGGTAGCCACCGCGCACTGACCATCACAACAGTGAGTAGTCGATAACTATTTGCTACACGTTAGCAACCACCTACAATCAACTCAATAAAGACAACCAGAAGCCCTTGTTGCACTCTACACACTTCTTGTCATCACGACCCGTTCGAAAACGCTCCTCGCATAGCCAACATGAGTGACATCATCATGCCAGATGTGGCGTCTCCAGAGGAAAGCCGCCCCCAGGACGCATCCAACCCCACCCAAGACGTTCCCAACGAAGCAGCGAGCACTCCATTGAGCATCGAAGATGTGGCCGCCACAGAAGAAAGCCGTCCTCAGGACACCTCCACACCCACTCAAGATGTACCCGATGAGGCAGCGAGCACTCCCCGCAACATCGAAGATGCTGCATCTCCAGAAGAAAGCCGACCCCAGGACGCAGTCGTACTCACCCAAGACGATCCCGATGAAGTAGCGCGCACTCCCCAGAACATCGAAGATGCGGCGTCCTTGAAAGAAAGCGGTTCCCAGGAAGCATCCGCAACAACTGAAGACGTGCCCGATGAGATAGCGCGCACTCCCTGGAGCGTAGACGAGCGCCTTTTCATCGAGTTGCAAGCCGGCTTTGCACTCTACGCCGCCTTCCTGCCCATTTGTACAGTACTTCCGCCGACCGGCCAGAGCTACTACTACGTCTTTCGCCGGTTCTTTAGGTCTGCAGATCAAGATACCTCCGAGACCACTCCCGAACAGGACGCCGCCGCAAGCCCGAGAACCCAAGAAGAGTACCTGCTCAAAAAAAAGGAGCTGGTACACTGGGCGCTGAACAAGACGGATGAATTGGCGCGGAAGGCGATGAAGACCGGAGAGTTCATGAGGGGTAAGATGTGGATAATCGAACAGGAAGTCTTTGATGATTACCGAGAGATTCGCGAAGAGTATGGCCTCGAATTGCCGATCGAAGACCCGAGGCAGACCAAAAAGATTCGCGAATTCCTGTATCGGATCGTTTGCGCAAGGTTCCCGAAGTCGTTGGGACATAGTCCTTCCAGCTCAGATGCGGACGAGGACCGCATTCGTACAGAGTATGCTGACGACGACATGTATGACGGCTCTACTCGTAGCTCTCCTCCTGGGGACGAGTTTGAGACTACAGAGAGCGCTTTGCCGGCGGAGGAAGACGCACCAGCCACGGAGGAGACTACACGACGGACACGTACGAGGGCCAGGAAGCCCACCGCCGCCCCCGACGACAACAACGCATCCCCACCGGTTCGTCAGTCCGGCCGAAAAGTCTTTGTAACCGACAAAGCGAAGAAGGCGCAGACAGGTACGAAGCGCACCAGACGGAACACAGCGGTGGAGAATGAGAGCGAAGACGAGGATGAGGATGGAGAAGAAGACATCGCGGAAGATGAAGAAGAGGACGACGGTGGAGCATCACCGAAGAAGCGCGCGAAGAAGACCATCCAGAAGACCGCCCAGAAGACCACAAAGCCGAAGACCAAGAAGGGTCATGGACCGAACCGCAAGCAGAACGATCACTGGACGAAGGAAGAGCGCGAGGTCATCATAGCACTCTTCAACAAGATTATAGCCGAGAAGGGCCTTATTTACTGGGCGGACAACATCAGTGCCCTCTTTTACGAGGCCACTGACGCGGTGAACGCACATAGGGCCCTGGATAAGGCCACATATCCTGGTGATCCTCGCGGCATGGATGGTGTGCGCACTCAGGTTCACAAGAAGGCTGCTTATAAGCGCATTAAAGCGCAAGCTGACGCACTGAGGACTAGGAAGGCCAATCCGAAGAAGACGGTGACAGAGGCAGAGCTGAAACCGCGAGATGTGTTCAAGGCGGCGGATCTCGAGCCCGGCAAGGGCAAGTGATGAGGACAAGGAGTGAAATTTGAGTGGAGAGGGTGGTGGCGCTGCTTCTAGCGGCTTTCGATGAAAGGGTGTAACATGGGTGATCTCGGGATACTTGTCCGTCGGGGTGACATCAAGTCATCGGCTATCGCCGATGAGCTGGAAGGTGCGGACTGGAGGTAGTGCTGCAGGTTGGACAGCGTGTGAGTGACATCGCGAGATACAGACGCTCTGCACTGCCTTTGTGTCGTCGCACTTTCCTATTGCAATGAAAAGATGAAAGATATATACCCAAATGTGCTGGTTGTGCTTACTGAGTGTCTTCACGACACGCGCCGACTTATACGAATGGATGGCGTTTGCATACAGATATTGTGTCTGTCCACGCGGTTCGTGCGTGTGTGTGATGATAGTCAGGTGGGTAAGTGTATGTGAGGAGGTGATGATGTGACGATGGAAGACGACAAAGCTGGGCGCCGAGGTGAGGCTGAGGTTTGCAGCTAGCACGTCATGACGTCACTGCCGACGCGTCGACCCCAGGGAACTTCCTTCCCGAACGCGATACATATTCTTGAACATCCTTCTACATCACGTCGCAATGCTTTCATATTCTCTAAGTCCATCAAAGGAGCGGTCGAGGGATGTGCGACAGGGTGCACACACACACGCACTGCCATCTCTGGGCAGTACTACTGCTACTGCGTCTATTCCAGCCTGAGCGTCACTGATCTGACCCGTCGATTTCACGAGACGTTCTCGCGACGAATACGCAAACAATGAGCATGTAGGCGTGGCTCGCGAGATGATATACTGAAGAGGGTCATGCATCGATATCAAGACGCGTGAAAGGCATCGCGTGTCGCTTGCTAGTGGACACGCGTGATGGAGGTCGATGTCCATTCAAGTATAAAGACTGGTGTCATCGAATAAGTTACTGACAGACTGTCGTTACTTCACAGTATCATGGCTTCAAAGTATCACTACGAACACGCAAGATTACTCTACGCCCGTCTCAAGGCTGAAGCCGGCGACTACCCGCACTGGAATGGATTACACATCTACGACATGATCAAGGAGGGTGTTAGCGACGAACACATCAAAGCCGAGTGGAGTGGCACTGTGTTGGTGTATCAAGACTCATCGGGCGGAGCGGCAGACGTCTTTTCGCGCTTGAGTCGTTTCGGTGTTACTCGTCATGGCATTGACCAAAATTCTGTCGCAGAATGGATGGAAGATGGGATGTCAGAACGAACCATCGCCTTGCAGTACCTTCTTCACGCACTGGAGCCAACTACCGAGGATACAAAGGCATGCTTAGCTGAGCTCCAACGTCAAATGGGCCCTTGTCCATTGATGACGGAAGAGTACATCCTCGGATGCATGAAAGACCGTACCCTTGGCGAAGACCTTGCTATGGAGTATGCAAAGCGCCGACAAGAAGCGCAACTGGCAGATCAAACAGACGTCCCAGGACCAATGTCCGACGAGGACTTATGGCTCGAGCTGCATTACGGTCTTCTATACGCTACCACGAAACTTCCGTCGGAGCCCGTCGTTTTGCGGCATCCACGGCACTCCGTGCATCAATACAAGATGTACTTTAACGACGGGCCTGGTATTGACGATGGCCTCTTCAACGCCAAGACGAGAAGATTGGCCAGAGACACGGTCATGAGGCTAGATTGGCGACTGGACCCATTCATCAAAGCAGGCGGTCACCCAATAGCCTTGCGAACAACCGTTACGTCGGATCATCTGGCCGCATACCGGAAGATACGTAAAGATATCATAGGTGATGAGAGCAACACAGATGTGGAGAGTCATAGCGAGCGCTTGCAATTCCTCATGGGCCTAGCGGCAAAGTTACATCCAAATCTAGCCTCACCGCCTATGCAGTCTACTGATGTGGTAGCACCAGTGGAAGCGTTCTCCAAAAGCCTCTGGACCGAAATGGAACGTCACGCCCTCTGGCGCGCCATCAACAAGTGGTGCAAGGATAATGGTGTAGATCGATTCGAAACAGGCAACATAGGCATGGTCACATGTCAGACTTTTGCTGACGAGATCAAAGCAGATTGCACGGCCAGAGGCACCGAATCAGTGCGCAGTGCAGAGAGCGTCCAAAGCCAAGTAAAAGACGCGATGCGGAGGGCCAAGGCGGTAGCGAACAAGCCGATCACGGAGCTGGCCTTGCGTGCAAGGGCAATGAAAAAGAAACTCATCGACAAAGGCGTCGACTCTGTTCCAAAGAGCGAAAGGTTTCTAAAAGCAGCTATTAATATTCTAAGCTCTTGTGTTAACAATACTTCTCTTTTTATAAAAAAACCTAATTATATAAGTATATATAAATTTTAGAAGTTATAAGTTACTTATTATAATAAGTTATTAAGTATATTATAAAATAAAAGTAATAGTTCTAAAGTATAACTTTACGTATATAGTAACTATATAAGTTAGAAGTAAAGTATATAAAGTAACTACTTTAGTATTATTATTACTTATATAATATATATATACTATAGTACTTCTTTTTACTTTTATTACTTTTAAAATCTTAATTTAACTATATATTTTTATTAATATTAAATACTACTAGCTTTTACTTACTAATATAGTAAAAGTAACTTACTACTAAGTAGCTATATAAGCTAAGTATTATTAAGTAATATTTATAAATATAATTTTATATATTTAATAAAGTATTAAGTTATATAAGTTCTACTTTAAGCGCCTACTTAGTACGTAATATAATATAACTTATAATAAGTATATACTAATAGTATATAAGTCTATACTAAGTAAGTAAATACTTTTTTTATACTAAAATAGCTATAGTAAATATACTACTTATTTATTTAAGTTAGCTAAGTTACTAGCTCTTTTAAGTAAAAACTACTTTTTTTACTTAAAGTAATATTAGTAGTAATATAAAATAGTAGAAGTATACTAATATACTTTTTACTTTTTATAATATATAAGTTAAAATATAAGTTAGTATTTAAGCTATTTTAAATAGTAAGAATAAGTATAAAACTTTATACTAGAGTAAATAAAATATATTATAAAATATATAATTATATAGGTAATAATAGCTGCAGGTAAAACACAAGGGATTAATATTCTAGGGGACAATAAGTTAGACACTAATTAGACGGGTTCTGCAAATGTTCAGGATGAGAGAGATGTTCGGATCAGGTTAGCTAGATGTTAGCTACAACGAAATCTAGCCTTCCTTCATGGCCTAGCACTGAGTTTACAGAGTGAGTCTCACAGTGTTATGCCGAGCAAATTACGAGGATGCTGCGAACAATGTGAGATGGCGGCAACGTAGTGGCAGGACAGGCAATCTTCACGTGGTTCCGCGCGATTGTTATAGCCCAGCGTGACTTGGTCATAAGACCATCTTGATACCGTCCCTCGCAAACACCCTGGCGTATAAAGAAGTAGGCCAGTATAGCGTTACCTTCAATCAGTACACGAAGTTATCACCATGACCGACAACCTCGCTACCTCAGCCACCCCGACCACCCAATGGAACGCGGATCAGCGTGCGTGGATTCAACTTTACTACAAACTCTTGTTGCAAAGCCGACGCCAATACCGATCCTTCCCGGTCTGTACTAGTGATAGCGTAGCTGCAATTGCTCATCGAATGTTCTACCGCAGCCCTGAAGAGAGGCAAAATGGCATCCATCTACACTCTGTAGAAGACGAAGCGATCTACAAGGCCTCGTTCATTCGCTACCGGAACGCCGCGATGCCGAATCTACTGTCTCATATTGTGCAACTCTGCGAGAATACTACCGAGTTGGACTCTCGTTGCAGCGTACCTCAGGTCTTCATCAACAGGCCCATGCTAGACGAATACATCAGGATCAGCGGGACGTATGCAGGTGGCCTAGAAACCGATACTCCACAGCCTTGGGAGTCGCAGACTGCTCTCTGGGAGTTCATCTCAAAGGCAGTAAGCGAGAAGTTCATTCATCGTGGGGTTCTGCGCAGCCAGGATACTGTTGTGCAGTCGTTCGATCGAGTCACTCTGGGCAGCGGAAATTTCCCAACACCGCCCTCCGACGACGAGCGCGCAGAGTTGATGCTGTTTCAGCGACTCATTCAGCGTCGACTGGCTGGAGCAGACGATGGCACAGCGTAGGGGCCATAGATGCTCGATCCATGTGGACACCCAACATGCTGTGGTCTCGTTTCAGCATCTCGCATGGAAGGAAGTTCAATCTCAGGCAATCCATACACCATATTCACTTCATAGTCATCCAAAATATCGCTTTTGTGGCCCAACACTGTGTACGCGACGAGTCTTCAGTATTCTCATAGGGCCCGATCCCCACATGCTTTTGATATGTGCATTCTATCTACGGGCGAAATAAAAGTTGACAGCATGATCGTGTTTGGAGCACTCTACCTCGAAGCGTATACATGAAATCCCTCCCGCAGGTGATACATGACGACTTCACAATCTTCACCTTATCCAGTAGGCTGCATCTTGCCATGTCGTGACCGATGATGCAACCGAGCCCTGACCGTACCAACATAGGACCGGGTTCCCGTTGTGAATAATCAATTTAGCGCATGGACAGCCTTTGCGCTGACATAGGCCGCAAGCTTCATACTCGCCAGTCTGATGTGGAGCCCTTGATACATTGCCTCTTGCAACTACAATGGTCTGTACGCATCCTTTCCCCACGTTCGCCAGCCGGTTACTCTCGCTGACCATAGTGGCATAGGTATTGTGGTGGGTGGCCTCGGCTGCGTCATATTGGGCGTCGTTGCTGGCGCTGAAATAGTATTGGAACCTTTCTCCGACTTCTTGTTGGGCGTTGGGAGACAACTCGTAGAGCGTATGATAGCTGATTCCGCCTGCGCCCGAGACGCAGAACAACCAAGGTATTTCGTCGGCAGAGAGAAGAGGGGGCTTTTTCTGGGTGGACGACGAGGTTCTCTTCCGTTTGTTCTGTCGCAGTAGCCGTAATTGGTCTTGGGCGAGCTCGTGCGCTGTACGAGCAGCACGTACTTCCTCGTGCAGACGACTAGCAATGACCCCATGCTCCTCTTGCATCTTCGCTATCTCCGCGGCGTGCTCTAGATTTCTAGTTCGCAGCTCTTCCTCTGCTTTGAAGAATGCGATGCGTAACCCGGCTTGTGCGGTGTCCACGTCGGGATCGGTCTTGGGTCGTACAGATCCTGCGAACAAAGCGTTAGTTACCATGCTCAACGTAAGTTCATACTTCTGGATTAAGGCGTAAAATAATGCCATTAATCTCTTTGGATACCTACCTGCAGAATAGAGTTGTCCGTCAAGTTGAGCGATCTTGATATCTTTCGCCTTGCATGTCTGGCAAAGCTCTTCCTTCTTCTTCTCTTGGTCCTTCAAGGCCGTGATGTCTTCTTTGAGGGCATCGTTTTCCTCCCACAGGCGTCCGATCTTGACGTACAGATTGTTCAGTTTTCGCTTCTGTTCGTCAACGGCGCTGAGAGCAGTATCGCGCTCACGCTGAAGTCGAGACTCGCTCTCGTTGACCTGGCTCACTAGGTCCATCAGACTTTGTGAATATGGTGGGGATGGTGAGAGACAGTGAGTAGTAACAAGGGTGTCGCGGCATAGATCTCGCGTCTCAATATGACGGCGGTGGGGGTGCGACGCGTGCGCTTCGGGAAAGAGCAGGCGCGCGTAATCACGTGCGTGTTAGTCAGCGCAGGTTCAGAGACCTTGCATGAACGGAACTGCGGCTTGGATCGATGGGATGATATCAGAATAGTCGAGGATGCAATATCTAGTCACTTGCTTCTCCCATTGATGTTCCACTAGTACTATCACGAACTACCACAGCTTCCATGAGCTCCGTGCTTCAACAGTACTGTTGCAAGGGACTGTGCCGTTGCCTGAGCTTACAACACCCTTGCTCTGGATTCCAGTACCCTCGCTCGTGCTTTCGGTACCGTTGCTCGGGCTGCCTGCGGTAGTCACCCTGCTGTTACCATTGAACGCAAGTAGGTTCACCGAGCCCATGGGGTCCGTCACGACATTGGGTGTAGCTAGCGCATACACCCTCGCCTTGACATCGGCAGCAGTTGACGGCCCTTCAAGACCGCGCAGATACGAGACCAAGCCCGCTACGTGAGGAGACGCCATGGAAGTACCGGTCAGCGTCCTCGTCTCTGAGTCGCCCAGGTTGGATGCCGATACAATGTTCGTTCCAGCAGCAAAGATGTCGACCGCAGCGCCGTAGTTGGAGCCTCCACCGCCGCTGTGCCTCTTGTTGGTGATTTCGATGTTTCCAACACAGATAACTTCAGGGGAGCGAGCTGGCGAGCTGTTGATAGCAGGGGAATCCTCGTTTCCTGCCGATGTTACGACGAGAACGCCTTTCTTCCATGCTGCAGTAATGGCGGCATCCCATGTTGTTGACGCGGAAGAGCCAAGCGAGACGTTGATGACGGCGGTGTTTTGGCGGCCCTTGGACACAATGTCGTTGACCGTCCAGTCAAATCCGGCGAAGACATCTGATGCGCTTCCAGTGTCACTGTCCAAGACCTTCACGCCGATAATGTTGGTCTTCTTAGCAACACCGTACTTGGCGCCACCCACGGTTCCAGCTACATGCCTAGGACTTGTCAGGGTGTGAAAATGAATGTTTTGGACGGTATGACTTACGTTCCATGGCCTTCGTTGTCGGCGTCGGCGGTGCCTCTCACGGCATTGTAGCCCCAAGTTGCTCGTCCCTCGAAGTCGCTATGACTGATACGAACACCGGTGTCTTGAAGATGATGTCAACACCGAGTCAATATTGTCATCGGTTTCGTGACTTACCCATAACGTAAGAGAAGGTGCCTTTGCCCGCAGAGTCATCATACACATATGAAGTGGCTCCTGCTTTGCGGGAAGAGATGCTGGCTAGACCCCACGGTGCGTTCGCTTGAGTAACCACCGCGTTGATCCTCACGATAAAGTCCGGTTCAATGGTGAGGACCTCAGGGAGAGCCTTCAGCTCTTCAACGGTCGCCTCATCGAACGACCCAGCGTAGGCTTTGAAGTCGCCAAACCCGTACTCGCGGTCCACTGGAGCACCAACGGGACCATCGTCGCCTCGTCGAGCCAGGTTGCGGGCATGTATGCTGCGCACAGTGTTGTGGTGGGCTGCGATGGATGCAACGTCGGTATCAGGCTTCAGCTGAACGATGTATTTTCCGGGGATGATCTCGTTGGCTGGAGGCGCCACGACGGGAGCAGCTTGGGCCAGGAAAGGGGCTGCAGCTGCAGCGAGCGCGGTGATGCGGGTGAAGAACTGCATTCTGCCTGTGGATCGTGGGTGCGGCATGTGGAAATCAAGGTCGATTTGCCTACTACTGCTGGACTACGTGCGCTTTTTGACTTGCTCCATCTTCGTCGCGTAGGTTACGATACGAGTAATCGTTAATCCAAGCATCGCGCTTTTCTTGACTACTGCCTGTTTGGGCTCAGCTCCCGTAATGCAGTTCGTATAAGAGGCGATGCCGGTAGCGGTAGATGGGAATGTTCCGACTCATGGTCGGCCAAGACGGTCGCGCCAGGGGTAATTTTGGAAACGGGATGGAAAACAACCCTGTTCTTCCGGCCAGCGCTTTCCAATTCGAGCGTGACTACCGGGCGCGAAGCGATGAACACGGGATCCGGCGTCGTATTCTGTGGATAGATCCCACATCGGAATGCACTCCGCAAAATCGGGCCTTGTAGAATCAATGCCATTGTTCGCGACAACAGAACAGGCAGGTTCCAAGAGTCTGTATATTGCGAAAGGCTCGAAAACATGGGGAGAGATAAGGCTCAGTCTGGGCAATAGAGCACTATCAAGGGTAAAGGGCAGTTGATGATGCAAAACGCTGTTCAGAGTGGTGGACTTTTCGGAGAGAACAGTCTGCGGTGCATTTGAAGCCGTATTGCATCAGCCAAACAGAGGCAACGAGAGGGAGACCGTCCAGTCAAGAGATAACAGCGTGATCTATTGACGACTTGAATTGCGTGATGCCCAAGTGGTCTCGTACTGGAAGACTCAGCCGGGCGGGCGGTCCCGAGATCTTGAGCGGCTTGCGGCAGATATCGGCGCGACTACGGAAGTAGATAGCAGAGACTATCAGTCCAATCCATTGAGCTGGTTGATGATCTGACACCGAACAGTCGCTGCTTCGTGCTACCTGTGTTAGCTGGTCCGCGATGGGCTGGCTGTGGTCGATGCATAATGTGTGTAGATGATGGGCATGCGGGTGGAAAGGAGTAGCGAGAAAGCCGCTCCGGTCGAGAACAGGCTAGACTGGTCGCGCTAGATGACTCAGCAACTCCCGAGGTCCCTCGCGCGAGGATGGCGCGTAGAAGCTGTTGCAAACTTCAACACCACAGAACAGTGGTCACGCATCGTGGGGGACTGCATCAACCTGTATATCTACATGTCTTTGCTGAGATGCCACGGTAACTTGCGACAGCGCCATGAACAGATGGAACGGATGGACTGCCTAGGTATACAAGAAGTCCAATTCCCTTCCGCCTGCTAACCTTAATTCGCCTCTACGCTGTGTCATTTCCACGAAAATTGCTGATGATAACGCCGAAACCTTCCATCTCTACCTGGGCCGAAATCTTGCTGGCTCTTTCTCATACCATTCCGCCTCTCACAAAAGAACAAGTTCTAGTCATTCTCCTCAACTAATTCTTCCTCATCATCATCGCCAAACTCGAAGATCATGTCAACTTCGCGGTTGATGTCCTCATCGTCGTCAGCCGTCTCATCGACTTCCTTAGCAGCATACGCTTCATTACGAGCATCCATCTCGGCCTTGGTAAGATGCGCGTCTCTTCCAGGTTGTATCCTGCCTTTGGCACTGAGCCGAGGACGTTTGTCAGACTTGCGCGGGGAAGAGGGTAGCAAATCTTCGTCAGAGCCGGATTCGATGGTAGTGTCGTCGTCGTCGGAATCAAGCTTACGCTTCTTGCCGGATTTGTGGTGTTCGGACGATGTCTGCGGGTTCGCCTTTGCCAAGAAGTCTGCAACGTCGATAGCCTGGTCAGGGTACCGCTCGTCGTCCGGGATGCTTTCACCGGCTTCAATAAGCGCAGCCAGCTTCTGGCCCTTGATGTATAACATGCCTAGGGGCTCGTTGGGTTTATTGGTGATCTGCTGTCTTGCCCAACCACTGACCGAGTCAACTGAACGCAGAAAACCTGTCTTTGCCACAAGGGTAGCCTGGAGATCCTCCCTCCCACTCTCCATGACCCGAGGTAGGAGCTTGTTCACGCCGTTCTTCTTGACCCAAGTGTTCACCCACTCGTAAACGATGGCACGCTCATCATCGGTCCAGGGATCGCGCATCTTGGTCGTCTCACCAGTGTCGCGATTGCGCCATTGCGAGAGCTTCTTGCGGTACTTCAAAACCGAAGTATCGTCATTCAGATCGATTTGGTCAAGGTGGTCGAGGTCGACGAGGTGTTCGTGGATGTACGCATTCGTGGCTGTGTCGAAGACCATGAACTTGAAGGTAGGTGCCCAGCTTGTCTCGCCGCGCGTCCAGGTCTTTCCGTCATCTGATCTCTGCCAATACGTGTTTTTCTGCTTGTTCGGGATCGTGACGGTCGTGGGATCGGGTATCAGATACTTGGGACGAGTCTTGTCGCGCCACATGCTGGTCAACTCGTCTTTACTGTACTTGGTGGCGATTTCTGGGATGACGTCCATTTGCGCGAAGACGTTCCCGAGCGGGGTGTTCATACGGTGATACACTCGAATTTGGTCGCGGTTGTCCATCACGCGCATGAACTCTTCGGCATCGAGCCGCGCCGTCTGATTGAACACCGGCTTGGGTGACGTGTGTTGCCAATCGTCGAAGTTATACTGTAGTGTGAAAATCGACTCGAACACCGGAATCACCTTACTGAACTTTGTCGGGTTTGTCCAAGGGTCGACATCAGGGTCAATGCCCTTTTTTCTGGCCTTCTCCACCCACGCACCGTACATGTCTACCAGATTCTTGGCCAAGAATAGCTGCGAGAGCGATCGATGCTCCGGGTTCCTGTCTCCATGTACGCGGTTCTTGGGCTCCGTGTTCAGGTTCTCGCGCGACTGCTTCTTGACCGCAGCTGTCAAATTGGGGACGAGCTCGTCACACAAGTTTTGGTAACGCTGAAGCCGCTCGGATCGCTGACTTTCGACGGACCAGTGTGTTGCGACACCTTCGTCGGTGATATCTCCAGCCAGAAAGGCGTCGAGCTGTCGAACTTGAGCCTGCATGTCCAAGTCAACTACTGGCTGCGAAGAATGTCGTGTCAACGCCAGTAGAGCCGAGTATGTCAGGAGAACGTGTAGTTTCTCTGGCCCCAAGGGTAAGATCGGCGATGTTGGTAGCGGTGCCATCTCGTCTTCGTTGCTGCAATCTGGAGCCGTGTCTCTGGTATTCGCCCGATCGCTGTTACGGTGTGCTTCCGTGGTGATGGGCGCAAGCGGCGTGTCTAGAGTGTAGAGCGTCAATGTTTATTGCACATATTATCAATATCTACGCGACTATACTCACAACTATCGCTAGTTTTGTTGGTGCTGTCGCCAGTCGCGGGGTGGGTCGCATCAGCTCGCTTGCCTTTGTCGCTCTCCATTGTGTAATTGCTATCCATGTTTGCAAAGCCTCGCGCAGATTTCTCAATGCCACACGGAACGTTGCATGCGCGGATTTTGGCTTGGATGGGGGACCAGCTAGTAACAGTGCGCTCCAAAAGCTTTGGCGATCGAAAGTGAAGAGGTCTTGCTCGCGGGTGAGCAAATCGATAGTGACGCGAGCATGTTATGACGCGCTAGTCAAACAGCGAGGTCACACAGCTCTAAAGAACGAGCCTCATTGTTAGTCACTGAGTATTGATGTGATGAATACAGCAGTGTCAGCAAAGACGCCCATAGGACAGACTGTCGCGAGGATAATGTTGAACCAGTGAACACTAAGCGTGCTTTGTTCTCCGCAAGATAGGCTTGAAGTCGATTATGGCCTCCTGAGCCCCCACCATATCGGTTTGGCGTGCTTGACTGGGCTCAATTTGGACGTTGCTATCTCGAGGGCGCGTCGCCATTAAGTAAATTCTGCCATTGCGGCTGTCGCTTGAAAGAACCCGAGGCCAGACGAAGTCTTGGATACTGATTCGAGGAGGTACTCGGCGTCTTCGCTTACGCTGGCCAGCAGTAACTAGACAGATACCAAACTGTCTTTCATCCACTGACTTCGGTCAATGCGCGGATGTACAGCGCAGCTTCGATCGTCTCAGCCGACATCAGACGGTTTTCCAAAACTCTGTATCCTCGTGACTATCTGGCGCGTCGGCCATAGAAACAATAGCTGCTCTCATGCGCAGGAACAGAATTGTTCTAATATCTCAGAGACTGCCCGGTTCATCAGAGTCGAAACACCAGAAGTGAATGAGCCTCTTGAGGCCTTTCTTCTAGGCAGTGACGCGCGCACTGTCCCAATTTGTTAAGCCTTGTTTTGAAATCTTGAGTTTTCCCCTTCCTTGGCGTATATCTTGCTCAGTTCAGTCCGCGACCAACCGCGCCACCGTCACCACACCTTGAAGTCTCTACTCTGAGAATTGGAAGGACTTGGTCATAGCAGCCTTTTCGATCTGGCGCGCGCTCCGGGCTGTAACGCGTGATATCTGCGCAGCTGACTTCGCAACTGTACCCCGCAAACATAGTCGACATCGCGCCGTAAGTTTAGAAATACTGAACTCCCGTACGCAGTAACACCGCAGCACCGTTGGAGTCGTCTCATCTGTCCAATCCGGCATTTGAAGCGCATCGACTAACGATTTCTCTGAAGGGCTTTTCCACCTCTTGCCACGGCTTTTCTCAATCCAGCGCATACTCCTACGCTCCCAATACATATCTTACACGCATCCTATCGACCTTCACGAGAGGACAAGGACGGAAGAAGATGCCGCCCCACCTGATCGGTAGCCTGGCCCGCGAGATTCCCAGCGCGGAGGAGGTGCCAACACCCCAGACCAAGGCCAAGGTCAAGGTGCCCGCCAGCAGCCCGCCGGAACACCTTTCGTATACGGATTCCCTCCCCGTTGACGAAGACAGCGATGGCGAATTGTCGGACGACCCTGCGCCCTACGCCGGCCGAGAGCTAGTCAACAAGGAGCTCACACCGAAAGAGACGTTCACGCCCCACGACACTGATCCCACCAAGATCGAGGCGACATTCAAGATCCAAATGCCCGACGGCAAGAGCTGGTTCACCCAGAAGAACATAATCCCGGAGAAGCGCGAATCCGCCGACCGGGACTTGTACGAAGCCGATGACTGCATCTTCTTCCCTGACCTCGAGAGCTGCAAGGTTCCCAAGAAGGACAAGGAGAAGAAGAACAACCCTGTGGTAGAGTGGAACAAGGTTAGCGAGAACCGTTGGGAGCGGACCTTCAAGGGCATCAATGAGGTCTTCACCCCAAGCATCGCCCTCCGCCGCTTCAACGCCCGTACCCGCGCATATGAACACGTCCACGTTAACCAGTCGAAACTCGCCAACATTGACCCAAACGACAAGAAATGGAAAGACGCATACAACAAGTGGATCGACCAGATCTCGCGCCGGTCCAACGCCGCCTACGAGAAGAAGAAGAACCGTGACCACTGGACCGTCCCAGAGATCTGCGCCATGTACACTGGCATCAACGACTTCGTTCACACCAAAGGTTTTGACGCGTACGACACCATTACCACCGCCGACTTGTCCAAGATCGTCGAAGCCATCAACAAGGCTGGTGTGAAGAACCGTGGTCTGGACGCCCTTCGAGGTCAGATCACGTCGGCTCATGCGACGAAGAACAAAACGATGGCGTATCTTCGTGAGCACGCCCGAGACTTTCGACTGCTGGTTGAAGCCGGTGGTGTAGTGGGCGTTGAGGAGCGGTACCCTAAGCACATGATTCCTCTCTCAGAGTTTCCAGTTGAGAAGCGTGCCAACCACCGAAAGGGTACTGGCAAACCCAAGGTATACAAGCCCAAGTTCCGATCTGTGAACACACAGACTGGCGATGACAAAGTGGTCCACGAAGACTACGACAGTGCCGGCATTACTTCGACTACAAGGAAGATCTCCAAGAAGCGCAAGCGCGATGCACCGGCATCCGACGGCGACGAAGTCGAGGATCAGACTGAGCTTCCTGCTGACGAGAGTGACGAAGAGGAAGTCGAGCATGGCTACGGCAGCGACGCTGGCGAAACTTCGGACGAGGAGGAAAACGGTAGTGAGATCGAGCACTTGAAGGAGGCAGAGGATTTGGAGGAGACCGCAGACGTGAAGGCCGAGGATATGGAGGTCGAGGACAAGAAGCCTAAGGTCGTGAAGGCAGCGGGTGCAGAGGCCGACGCCCTTCCACCAGCCAAGAAGCCACGTGTGACTGACCACGCCATTGAGCTCGCCCGCCAGATGCTCGAGGACGATTCTGATTAGTAGCTGACCGGTACACCTGATACAGTCGAGATCAAGATAACGGCCCGAGACTGGTGTGGCGAAGCGCGGTAAAAGTTCGATGCGGGCGTTGAAGCTAGAGGAAGGTACAAACGACGTTGTCGAATATTGAGTAAACGCACAGCAACAAAGCGGCTTCAGCACTAGCGACTGTTGGGAACGAGCGTACACATGGATAGCATACTGTAGGCGTAGAATGGATGAGAGTAAAACTCTGCATGGCCCTTGTTCATGAATATGCGTGTCGCTGGAGTGTTTCCTGTCTTTCGCGCTCGAGCCTGAGCGGTCTTTTCGCGAAGGTAACCTTGGTTATGTACATTGGGGGAGAGATATGTCGCTGGAGTGAGACTATGCTTTTAACGGTAAGAGACACAATAGTCTGCGAATGACTGTATCGAGAGCCAGGTGAGGTAGACGGAGAGTGGTAAGGAGTCAGGATTGACGAGAAGAACGCCTGTGACGATGGCATGGCCGCGCGTCGCAGGATGGAAGGCGCAAACGATTGCATTATACTACATACGTAATCAAGGTGGGGTTTGCAGCGCTAAACAACATATCGCAATTGAGTTCCTCAGGAGTAATCAACACGGTAGATGGCATGGATGAAGATGATGGGTATTGATGGCATGCGAAGGGGTAGTTGAGAATGAAAGGAGGTGCGAAGGAGATACGGCAGGCGCGACGAGCCTGCCCCGCAGCATCGCCCACAAAAGCACACTAACCGCAGAGCCTTCCCCCACCAAAGGAAACTTGACGCGACATCCCGACTCATTGCAATTTTTGCATAATCTGAAAGACCTGCTGTCGCAAAAAGAGCAAAAGACAGTCCAGAAGACATGTCAGACACCGAATCAGACACCGCGAGCTCGGTGGGCAGCATCGTCGAAGACGCAAGCGAGCCAGACACGACTACTTTCAAAGATCTATTTTCGGATCGACAATGGACTCGCGTGTCGGATATGGTAGAGCACAACAAAACTGAGAACGGCTTCGATCTGCCAGCAACCATCAAAGGACTTGGACCAGGTACGGCTCACAACGTTGAACGCTCATCTATGCGTTCTACGCCTTACCCTTTTGGGATAACCACTGACTGCCTGCACTAGACGCGGACGAGATCACCATCATCAAGCTGATCAACTACCTCCGGTCAGAAGCACAAAAAGGCACAGATCCCAAGAGTATCAAGGTGACCCTAGATGATCTCACAAGCGACAAATACCTACAACCAGTATTGGAAGATGACGCGTTACTCTTTGAACTTGGAGATCTCATGCCAGATGATGACAGCAAGGCGATCGACTACGACGAGTATGAGGCGAAGATGCACAAGGACATGCAAGAAGACTTCTCCAAGATCAAGCTCACCAATGATCGGGACCAGGACTACTTTGAGTCGTACAAGGGCAACAGCATCCATCGTGAGATGATCGAGGATCGCGTAAGGACAGAAGGGTACCGTGACTTCATCGAGAAGAATGCCGAGGTATTTGCTGGGAAGACCGTGCTTGACGTCGGATGCGGTACTGGTATCTTATCTCTCTTCTGCGCCCGTGCAGGCGCGAAGAAGGTGTTCGCAGTCGACAACTCTGGCATCGCTGTCCGCGCGAAGGAGATCATTGCGAAGAACGGCTACCAAGACCGCATTGAACTGATCCAAGGCCGCGCTGAAGACTTCAACACCCAGCGGTTAATCGGCAAGGAGAAGGTCGATATCATCATCTCGGAATGGATGGGCTACGGTCTCCTCTTCGAAGGCATGTTGGATTCGGTCCTGCGCGCACGGGACATGTACCTCAAGCCTGACGGCATCATGGTGCCATCCCACTGCAACATCCGTCTTGCACCAATCTCAGATGCCGACTGGATAGCAGACAGCACGAGTGAGAAGTTCTGGAAAGACATCTATGGATTCGACTTTTCACCCATGATCCCAGGCGGTTTGCTCAACACGCACGAAATCGGTGTCTTCGACGTGCCTGAGAAGGCGCTCTGCGGCACTGCGACAAGCCATCTGCTGGAGATGAAGACTGTTTCTGTGCAGGATCTGAGCTTCAAGGTGCCTCTTCGCATGACACTCGACCGCGACATCACATCTCTCCAGGCCATTGCGATATGGTTCGACACGATCTTCAT